TGCAAGTCTACCTTATCGAAGCCTCTCTTTGCTTCGTGCTCCTGTACTTTCCATAGTCCCCTCAAATCTTTTTCGTATATCTTTGCACGGGGCAGTGCACTCATCGTCCATTTTTCCATCAGCATTAATTCCGACTCTTCTGGCAATAGCTTCCTCATTTCAGACCTGAGGCGCTGTTTCCTCATCGACATTGCTGTCCGGCTGAGTAATCAGATGGAGGGGGGAGCTTTGATGGTATCGACGAGGTGCTGGCAGTCTGATGATTTCCAGTGAATCAGCTAAGGAAGCTTGGCTTGCGAAAACTTCAGGCCGGTTTTGTATGAGCCCTTCTAACCTGCTCTTTTTTAGCGACTTCGATTGTGAATGTGAAGTAGAGTACTGTTTTGTCTGATCCCATGCAGGCGATGTTTTTTCCAATGATAGACAGATGTTTTATTAGCCGTCAGCACGTAGCAGACTTGGCTAAGTTCATTCCTTTCGGGCTACTGTAAAATTCACTGCGACTTCTGCGCTTTTCCAATCATAGCATTCATGATGTGGAGACGGTTCTTTCAGCACACGCTACATGATAAAAACCGGGAGTCGTTTCACTCACCAATTGCAGACCGCCCCATATCGGTTGTTTCCTTTCCTACTGTGGCGTTGAAATCTCCTTGGAAGTTTGTGTATGTGGACTTCATTTAAATAACTGTTTCCGGTTCCTCACAGAACTGCTCCACTTTTTCCTTGTCTGCTTGTGGTGTTGTGTCAAGCAGTAAACTGCAATCATCTGCAGTGACGTCTCGTCCGCCAGCAGAATAAATATGGCGAGATATAATTAGGAGGGATGAGGTCCCAGCGGCAAGCGGTCAGAGCAGCCTTGCTCTTCAAATGAGTTAGACAAAGCCTGTCCTGGAATAGTTCATAACTGTGAAATTAGATCAGCGGATCTTCAGGTTTCACACATGCCGAGAACATCTGTCTTTATCGTCTTCGCCTCGCTGACGTCCTTGTAGACAAGCGCGTGTGACGATAGAGTTCTGATGTTGTGGCACGTGAAGAAGAATTTAATGGTGACCTTTGACCACTCGCTGGTCACCTTTTGACCGTCACCAGGTCGCAAGTTATCCCTAATTTTGTAAACCCGATGCGATGATCTGATGAACTAGCTGCGTTTCTAATCCTCCATGCTTAGCTAATTTTTAACGAGTTTCGTAGGCAATGTAGTGAGGGTGTCAACGCTCGTGAACTATAACCTTCGTCCTCCACACCCTATAACTATCATGTCTACAGGGAAGCTTCTTGTGAACTCGGAAGGATTCATTGACCAGTTTCGGGCCTTACCGTCTCACCTCACCGAAGATTGCCTTCTCCGGCATTTTCACCAAGCAAAAGGACTACGAATATTACTTTCACAAAAATGTTACAGAGTTTACCTCATCAGCTTCATCTTAGAATGATTCAAAAACTGACGAACTGATATTCATGATACTAGTAACGTAGCAATGCGAGTTATTTTCTGAAGATCCGCTGTCATATGATAGTAATGGAAAGAGAGTATCCTCCCATTCCGAAAAATAAATATCAAACAAAATATGGACACTTCTCGTTGGTCTGGCATTGGACTAAAGGACTGAAATACGGATCAGTCTGATGTTCCTTCCACAGCTGTATTCAAGGCTGTTCAGAATTTCTGGAAACTATCTTCAGGCTTAGGTTCTACAGTATCGTACGGTGCCGGAAAAAGCTAAGGGAATATTGTGACAATGGACGAATGACCTATCCATGAGATCCCCTGAGGAGCTACCGTTGTCATTCGTAACTTTACACGCCTCTATCGTCGTCATCACCATCGTCATTACCGTCGTAAGGAGGTTAAAGTTATTCTGCACCAATACATGGCCGTCAGCTAAAACATTCAGGATAGCTGAAAGATGGCAGCTTCTTCATGTTTATTTATATACAAGAGCTATGTGATTCTAATTGAGGGAAAAATAAGGAATAAACCTTGTCGTTCTACTGACCGTGGAGGATATGGCAAACTTTTTCATGATGTGTCTGTCATCTCAGTCAGTAATTAATGTTTACGACAATTCCAGGAAAGTTCCGCTGAAAATGAAACATAGGCATCTGCAAAAGAAACAAGAGACACAGTCCCTTTGTACAATTTGAATCAAGCAGAACCGGAGAAACTTATTGAAAGTTGGATATTATGTAATTAACCCTGGCAAACATACAGAAATATGCGAAGTGCGCCATGATATGTTCTAATCAGCGACTTATTTTTCCAAAATCAAGAACATGGCACTGAAAGCCTTTTGTTCAAAAATTAAGAAGGCGACGGCTCTATCATATTCGAACGCGAGCAGTGCAAAGATGCCGCGTATCATTTCAGTGGCTACAGTAGCGCCTTACCGGTGGTCGGTTTCTTTCAATGCCTTGTGGATCATCAATCAAAAACTACAGGTTGGCATGTTGAAGCAGGTCAACAAAAGCTTATCTCCTCACAGGCTCCGAAAAGCAGTTATTCATTCGTTGACCCTTAGGATAGTGAATGAAATTGAATATAAATTTTGTAACTAGTATTGCTTTTTACAGACAGTGCGTTGAACAGTCATGCCGCCTATTCTGTGGATAGAAAATGACGTTCGCCGAACGGACGTCTAATTAATAAACATTAGCCTCGATCAAAGAATTAGAGGATTTGTTCGTTTAAGGACACGGATGCGCAGGAGCAGAACGAAGCCAACGGTACTCGGTATGATTCAAAGTTCATGTGGTCCGAGATATGCTCGAGGGCGCTGAGGACAAGGCGTAATCCGGGTACGTGTCCTAAACCTGTGCGTGAAAATTGAAAAGTACTTTAAAAATTCTTACAGGCGAATCCGTGTTCATTCCTCGACTGGGCAGCAACACGTCAATAACGCCAATCGACCAATGTCCAACGTTAATTCTATATCCACATCAGCAGCCGCTAATGGGTCATTTTAGGATGGAGAAAGAAAGAAGGCGCGAGATCAGTCATCAGCAGGTGTCACTCAAGGTTTATTTTAATAATATTGAAGTCAGCTCGACGGAAAATCGACCTCTCAACTCAGACTTCTGTCTCGTGTTCAATCAGAGACTCGTGCTTCATGTATCTGAAATACCTCTAAGCATCATAATAAAGGTATTCTGCATAAATTTGCTACTAATTTAAAGAAATGAATAGTGAGTTTTATACTCATTGTACCAAAATCTTCAAGAAATCAATAAGGCATAAGGATGCTCAACAAGAGCCTAAAACGCAAAACGCACAAATCGTTCAATATCAAGATAATGTAATGACATTTTTATACAATGCATAAATAGCGCAAAATAAGCATATGTGATTTAGCCTATTCCACAATATAAGGTACTCCTGCAGTTTAAGAACAATAGTAGAATAAACAGGAAGATTAATCGTATCTTGCATTATTTTCACGGAGTATACAGCAAAATGAAATCTGTAGAACTGGAGTGTTTGACAATGAAATAATTTTCAAGCGGCTGTCCTTCTTTTTCTTATTCTTTCTTCTTGACTGTCGGCACGATTC